CCGGGTTCAATGTGGTGGTAGGACTGGTAGGACTCCTATCCTGGAGACTGAAGGAGCAAGAAGCCGGGATGCTGATGCACGTAGGTGGATAGCACTGATGCCATTGCTAGCAACAGTTGAGCTGACACTGGCAATGCTAGTTAGAAGAAATAAGTGACAGTCGTTTTATGATGGTCAACTGCAGGACTCAAGAATAATGACCCACTTGGCTCATGGTTTGACGGTCCCCCATCATTTTTGTTGAGCAGCAAGAAGTATTCACAACCATGTTCAACATTGTCATTGTGGTCATAATGCAGCCCGACAAGCATACCAAATGCCCATCAGCATGGGATGTTGGATTTGTAATGTGTAAGGTTCAGGCGCTATGGTGGCGTTGTAGCTGAGGGGGTTCAGCGCCTCAGTCCCACTTTGAGTCCTCGGGTGAAATGTACAGCTGTTATTAGGGGGCATGTTAACTTCATCCAGCTGTGGCAGCCCCTGCACCCTTGCAGGAGGCGCTGAGCACTGGAGCCATTCATTCCCTTCCTGCACTGCGGACGTGGACGCCGCAGCAGTGGGAGGACCGAGTCGGTGCCTCGGGTAGATGGCAGATTTATTGTTCCGGGGTTCAGGCACCAGACTTTTTCGGACTGAATACTTGAGCTGGGGTCGAGAGCTCAAAACTGACCGTGAGAGTGAAATGGCGCTCCAGATTTCGAGCTCATAATCTGGTGTTGCACAGATTTCGCTCAGTATCACTTTGGCCATGGGTCCCTGAGTCAAGGAAATAAGCATGAGGTATTATGGCCAGCAAGAATCATCAGACACACCCATTACTGTCATCCGTGGATCTGGTTGGCCACCTCGGATCACAGCGGCCAGGCCTCTACAAGCCCGAGACCGTAGAAGCCGTACCACTAGGCATGGAACCGGGTCTGAGAAAGGTTGCGCCGAGATCGAAAAGCGTACGCTCTGCAATATGTCAAACCCACGGCTCTCTTGGAAGAGGCAGAGCCTTGAGGGAGAGTCCGTGTTACACGATGACTCCAAACTAGCCTTTTATGCGGCAGGACAGAGACAGCTGCGACGAACCGCAGGTGAGCTGTGCGATTTGGCCGGCAGTTCAGACACCGTAAGAATCGCAAAGTTTCTTCGTTGAAATCTTTGTCGCCGCAGCCGAGGCTTGAGAGCGTAGAGGGGTGAAGCGGTTTGCTGGGTCCAAGAGAAGGGCCGCCGAGGCAGAAATTCTGAGGCCCGCAAACAGGCAGCCCACAGCCAAAACCCGCAATGGCCGGATCCTAAAGCGATCTGCCCTAAACCTTTCCCCCTGTTCAACAGTGTTGTTTTTTCATGCTTGTTATCTTGAAGACTGCCTCTTTGGCGTTTGTCTTACCATCGCAGAAGATCCCACAGGTTCCTCCTGTGGGCCATGCCGTGGTGGATGAGGATGCCTTGGACCTGCAGCCTCTCAATGGACAGTTATTTCCAAGCTAGCTTTCACAACTGATGATCTTCTGTGGTCCAAGCCCTACATCAATGACCCCAAGACAGACTTTGACCTCTCCAGAAGTCCAGGCCCTTGATGCTAGCAACTGGAAGAGGGGTCTTGGGAAAAAGGACTCCGATCTCCCGGCTTCTGCCAAGGAGTAGACAGCAAACATCAACCCTGAGTCCACAGCTTTGATCCTATAAGCTTTATAAACCCTTCAAGCCCCCCAGACCCTGCAATTTTCTTACCATCCTGTACCCAGATTCCCATCCCCACACTCTAGGGTGGCTGGCTGAGTGTTGCTTTTCGCAAACTAAGGACGCTCTCTGGCGACTGCGGCTCCTGCCATCGCTAAGCTGTGCAATATGTGCTGGAAGGACCATGACCCTAAACCCTAAACCGTCATAGTTCACATCATACATGTGATCTTCGGGTTGTGACTGTGACTAGTTATGCCCATCACAGGCACCTTATCACCGTCCTTGTAAGGACCCATCAACCTTCAAGCAGAAACCTTTGACGGCTCTCTCATTTCTTACAGAATCGGGGGTTTTCAGGACATAGGTGTTCTTGTCGAGTTCTCAATGTTTTGCGGGGGCTCACATGGCCCTCTCTGAAGACACTCTTCGAATCGAGGAGTGCCGGATCACCTGTCTCAGCTTATTAGCCGTTCAACGGCTGATTCATCTTCGGGTGTCCGTTGGGCTTCACTATTTAATGCTGCCGATGAAATACTTAGTTAGCATCGGTCCGCTCATAGGGTCCTGGAGGACCCGTGTATACAAACTGAGCTCAGAGGGCGCGGGGCTTCGAAGATTTTCTGGGGAGCTTCCATGAAAGGGGCGGGGGCGGACTCTTCGTTGCCCCGAGTACTGGCAGAGCCTGTGTTTCTTGCACAACCAGTGCTGCAGGAAGTCTTTTTCCCATCTGGTGTGCACTGGCGGCATGTAGCTTCGCATGTAGCTTCATGTGCTCGGGTCGATTCTATCCAGGTTGTGGGTGCATACCTGTCGTCTTCCGTGACTTGTCTGCGCAAGTTCTGGCGAGTAGGCAGGTCAAGATATGCGGTTGCTCGTGGCCACGGTCGGAGGCAGCCCTAGTGAGGCCGGACCGAAGCCACTGCAGGCATGGGGCTCTGAGCTTGGCAAGCCGACGCAGCTCGAACCGGAAGCCGTAAGACATAAACAAGAACGAGTACCCCAGATGCAAGCTTTCTGATGTAGCTTGATCACTGCATGCACCTCACTGTGGTGGTCCTGATAAGTCCTGTATGCAGGTGGGCTTGCGAGGCAGTGTGTTTTTTACAACTTACTGTTGTGACCTGCCCAGGCTCGACACGACAGGCTTCGTTCGTGTTTTCGGTTTACGACGTTTTTGATAGCCTTTCCGCAACCTTCTTGTGGTGTGGGTTCCGCTGCAGGCCACTTGCAGTACTAGGTCGGGCAATGCGACGGTGCGACAAGTACGGATCAACTCTTCGCTTTGCATCCCACACAACGACAGCAAAAGTCTGCGTTGCTGTGGTTTGACCTTTCGGGGGTGTGCTCCACTCCTGAGACTACCACGGGGCCGAAAGAGTTGTTGGTGACAGTTGGGTATACAGAGCCCGCATGACCAGGGTAATTAATGAATAGTGGTGACCAGTAATAATTCTACATACCCGAAAGAATACGGCAAATCGTAGCGATAATGATAGTCGTACTGAATTATTTGGACCCGGCTCCTGCAGCACTTGAGGGCTCAGAAGACTTGGCCAGGGGTTTCAAGGCTTTAGGGCATGTTTGATGTGTGAGTTTGTGTGCCCCCCGTATCTTGCTCGATGCAGCAGTTCCTTCCAAGCCAAGTTTGAATTATGGGCCTTTTTAAGTAGGCATGGTCAGACACCGTTCTTCGCCGCGTCGAGCGAAAACGCTTCGGGACGTAGCTTTTTGCTTCGAGCTGTTTAGAGGCGGACAGCACGAGACTGAGAGAGAGTGTGTGTGTGTGCACACCTGAACATGGTGAATCAAGCTTTTTATTTCAGTAGTCTGCAGGGGGACCGTCTTGCAAGCATGGTTGACGGTCCAACGAAGAGGGCCATGCTTGTGA